GAAGAAGCGATCAATCATGCCGAAGCAATCTTTGGACCTGACGCCTCTACATTGAAAGGCAAGTCAACAAGACCAACTCCAAAGAAGACGTATGACGACTTCTTCAGTCCACCAGAGGAATTGTATCAGCACAATCGATCTATTACCGTCTGTATTGATCATATCCAATATATTATATCGTCTAAAGCGTCACGTGCATTTTCATCTTCAGGTTCATAGTCCTGATGGAAGGCTTCCTCTAAGTAACCTTGTTCCGTGTCATCCACTCCTGCGATTTGATCGCCATCTTGAAATGTCTCCAAATCTCTCTTCTTATCAAAGAACTTCATGGAAGTAACACCTTCAGCAGCAACCCAAGCTTCAACACGCTGGATTACTTGATCGGTAACTGGTAGTACGACAACCTTGGGTCAAGAAATCATCTTCTTAGTATTCAGGTTGAGCACTCGGTGCCCTGTACGTTGTCCGTTTGTAGGTTCAATGTAAATCGCTTCAATACTTCACGGTTCCATCGAATTGTTGGAATCCGTCCCAATAGCATGAACATGCTGTCCAAGCTCAGCAACCATGTCACTCTTGTAGTTGATATTGACATGATCAATGAGTTGCTGTGGACTGAAATGTGAGGAAATACTGTCTTTCTGGGGAAAGACATTCAATAGCTCAGCGGCTCGACGTCCAAGACATTCAGTGATCACCTTTGGTACCACTTTGTAGGGTAATTGTGCAAGAGCTACTCTAACTCTTTCTTTCAGCGTTCGATTGTTTCGCTCAGCGGTAGGCTCATGGTCTTGAGCTGCAGTCGGGTCAATAGTAACACCCATATCATCTAGCATATCATCCGTGAGAGGGATGAAAGCTCGATCACACTTGATTGTCTTGACACATATATATATATCCCTTAACGCTTCGATTTTATCCGATATATTATATCGGATATAAAAAAAATTACGCACTACTATTTACACCATACTACTACAATAATAAGCATTAAAATGATCATTACAAAGGGA